AATTATATCCGCAATAAACCTATGTTCAGAATGATGCGCATTGTATATGAGTATTCAGCCACCTCATTTTAATTATATTATGTAATTAATTTTTACTATTATAATCACTTATTACTAATTATTTAAAAATAAAAAATATTTAATTTTTTTTTTTTTTACTTATTATTTTTACTTTTATAATATATTATCTTATACTACTGTACTTTGGGCTATGACCCGTTCTGTCTATAAATAAATAAATAAAATACATTTTTTTGAAAAAATTGTAAAAAATTCAATAAAACAATACTAAGTCATAATCATTTACTTATATTTTTATGGCATACTTTGGAGATAAACTCTAAACGTGAAATTTCTCTTCGAATATATTTATCTTTTTGATTAAGTATAAATTGATATTTAGAAATAGTTTTTGTTGGTTTGCGTTGTGTTGTATAACTGCTTCTAATTTTAATGTATGTTTCGGTCTGTATATCTTTCAAAACTTTCACGAATAAATGGAGATTTGGATAATAATGATAAATCTACTATTAAATCTTAAATGAAATGATTCACATGCATTAGTAGAATCATTAGAAGACTACAATTTTGGAGGAAATAATGAAAACGAAACGTTGCGGCAGTAGTCTGAAAATCAACTTGACGATTGTGAATGCTACGCGGATGATTAGGTTTGCAGATTAACAAAGGTAAATCGATAGAAAATTATTAACATTATTATTATGAAAGCAATGGGTAAATAAGTGTACTGGTCAGGTTATTATGAGTAACATATATTTCCGACGATCGTACATGCTGTGGAAAATCTACCTTTTCGATGGGTGACATGTAAGGGGTGGGAAAACTTCGTCGAGAATCGCGTGCCAAGTCGAATGATCAGAATAGAAAACTATATGATGTGTGTGCTCGAAAGTTGGACGAAGTCGGAGAATTGGTCAATATTTCGAGTTCGCGGTAAAAATAAATCCAATAAACGGGCCGTGACTTTTGAAGCGTGTTCATGGAGCCCCGGTGCTCAAGATTCACGAGGTAAGTAATGATATAATTATCAATCGACGACGGCAGTTCAGATTGAGATGCGATGCGCATAATGCGCTGAAATTCATTCAAAGTGAAATTCTCGTTGATTTATTCTACTGCAATCCGAAAATAAAACTTCGGCAATTAACAATTCTGGTCACGCGCATATCCATTCTGGAGTGAAAATCTGTACGATTGTGTAACTTGCCCCGAGCTAACCTTTGTTGTTTATTGAAGACGTGTAAACGACTGCAAAAACCAAAGTTTTTTTTTTCATAACGAAAACTCAGATTACACTCGTTAAAAAAAAAAAAAGGAAAAAAAAGAGAATCTATTGTTCCTAGGTATATGACCTAATACAAGGTTACTGCTATCGTCTCAATAAGAATGATGATAAAAATTTACTATTAAATGCAGCATCCTTATCTTGTGACTTAATATTTTTTTATTTCAATCGTTGAAAATTACTTGTATTATTATAATGTATACGATTATTTATTGTGATCATTCGAGATGATGCTGTGTTTCGATTGTATTGAAGTTTGACCGTGTAAGGTTGTTTTTAGAAAAATCGAAATCATTGAAAATAATAGAACACACATGAAAACCAATAAAATAATATTTAATCAAACAACTCTCTTATTTTATAAATTATTAAAAAATAATCCTACCTGAACTATTTTCCCACAGAAAACCACAAACAAATCAATAATGATACAATTTAACAAATTATGAAAAATTCCTTAAGGATTTCATTTTGTGGGAGTTGTAATGCTCGATTCTCCGCTATTGTAATACTGAATACAGTTTTTTATTTTTTTTTCCTAAAGATTTCAATATCGATTTTATATGAATTATCTTTGAATAAAAATAGATTATTATAATTTTAATGTATGTAACGAGTATGTGATCGATGGTTGCATTTTAGACATAGTTATATTGTTCCTTATAAAATATTTTGGGTTTCTTCACTAAACATAAATGTATAATATATACACGCCGTGAATTGTGTATAATATATGAAGAGAAAGAGAGAAAGAGTCCATGTAAAATATATTCTACCAGGAAAGGACGACGTAATATACTCTTCATCCCTTATAGAGTGTACATGTATACGTCAAAATATGTATGCCTACATTTATTTTAATTTAATTTTTATGTTTAAGTCTTAGTCCCACGAATTTTACGTGAAATTCCGTAAGGTCTTTACAACATCATAGACTTTATATAAAATGAATAGGTAACAAACCGATTCAAATCTGTGTAATCTTTAAAGGTCTTATCGAATATATTTTCCTGAATCTTTTCTCGACTCGGTCAAATTCAGCGCGAAGCGTTTTAGTATCGACAGTTTTTTTTTTTTTTTTTTTTTTCATCAAAAATCAACAACTCTTCTAGCGGCCGCAATTTTTCTTAATTTCCATCATAGCCATTCGTGTCCGTCTCACATCACTGACGAACTCTTTGACGTGGATTTGTAAATTGACGTTATCGAATTAAGTTAATGCGTGACAAAATTTTATGCTAATTATTCAATGTCGTTTAAGTCTGGATAATCTTATACCAGGCGGACAGTGTACCTAAGGATATGTTTTTACGAATGCAATTGTTTGAATTCGCTGACGAAATCACTTCATCTCTTATACGAACACAATCGGATAAATATTTAAAACGTGGATATTTATTTTTACTTTATTGTCATAAGGATTTTTACGTATTATTACCATATAGTTAACTACCTAATACGTTCGAATATTTCCAAGTTATAAATTGCGTTCATTTCGCTATTGCGATGCGAATCATTTATGACGATTTTGTATTTGCTAACACTAAAATACCTGCCCTCTCTACAATTCCAATAATGCACCACTGCTTAAATTATGCATTGCAGCAATTATTATTCGAAGTAATCGATTTATTGTTACCAATTATATTATTAATATTATCGATAAACGGCTTCCATGCGCAGTAGCAACCATGCGTTTCTAACACGGTAATCGAATTACGTAAAGTAATAATAATAATAATAATAATAATAATAATAATAATAATAATAATAATAATA